GTAGTTACCTACGTGAATATTTTTTTCATTTGTGGCCTTCTGTGCTCGAAGGTAGAATATCCACCAGCCCATAAGTAAAATACCACTTAATATAAATAGACTTTCTTTATAGTTACTAAAAACTGCACAGCGGGGCGCAGACAGTAAAATATCCAGAAATAACGAAGCGAAATCCATCGAACAATATATTTCCATTTCGTCTTAACTTGGGCACTCAATATAGAAATATTGAAAACTTAAACTGGGGCGTTTATCGCGCTGCATCTGAGCAAAGTGAAATGCACATTTTAAAATTGCAATTGAAAATGTATTGGAATGCAGAACACCCGTTGTTTCCCAAAGGCTCTATATTATGGTAATGCACGACTCTGCGCGAGTTTTTCATTTTCTCTCTTGATTTATTTCTACGAATCGTTACCAATTTGCGGGTTACGGGAAAATCTCAATTGAAACATGCACATTTGCACGTTATTTTACATTAAAGCATAAATTAATCTATTGTAATTTGATAAAAAAAATTTCAGGCAATTTATCTAATATTGCTTTCTATATACTTTCGACATTTTTTTTTAAATTTTCTCTTCATATTGACATAATGAGAAAATTCTGATTAAAATAAGGCCAGAGGTTTCAAATGGCTGTCAAATGGGAGACGTCGATAATTTCGCGTTTTAAATTGTTAAAGTTGAAAAAAGTAATGCACGATAAATATTTAACTTTATTTTTTAAATACATAATTCAACATCTGTAAGAAGCTTTTTCATTGCCCTTTTTTTGGACTACACTACTGCATCCAAGTTCGTTTCAGAGATTGTCAGATCCAGAGGTGCTAAATGTGTATCACAGTTTCAGTCTTTCGGTTGGATTCAGTCAGTGTATTTCCGAATCCACAGACTGAATCCATTTCAAAAACAAAGCAAGAGTGAATCTTGTTTCGATGTTAAATGACTAGGGTATTTAACCTTCTTTGTCTGACCTCCAGGTAAAAAAAATAAAATTAATTTATCAACTTATTGCAAAACAAAACAATGTTTACTGTAAAATGATAAATAAAAATTTTGCTTAATTAAAGGTACTATCGGTAGTTTACGCAAGTACTTTTAAATAAAACACTTTAATGGTTTAAAACGCGAAATATTTTAGTAAAACTTTTTTGCAGCAGCCGTGGTCACGGGGAGACTAAAAATGGAGGATGTCTCTGACGTCGAAGTAAAAATTGCTACGCTAACGCCATCTGTTCTTTAAATTAATTAAAGGTTACAAACGAATCTGCGACAGCTCTTACGTCTGATGTACTTATTTCAATAATATGAGAAGTATAAGATTACATACGAATAAAATAAATAACGCCATTCGATCAATCTAACACAGCGTTTTCCTGTTAAGTACGATTAATTTTCCTCGAAACGTTCCATCACGAATTCATTAACAGCGTGCATTATTGTGATACATCTTAGCGTCTAGATGTATCTATTTTATAAGGCTCTAGTATTATAACCTCTTTGAACATGATTGTGACGGGCTCGATGGTGTAATGGTAGCAGTGAATGGCTTATAAACAACGGGTCATGGCTTCGATCTCCACCGGGTCCAAGATGTTTCTCATTTTTTCTGAAACATGTGGGACTTCGACTGAAAATCTGGATATTAAATTGGTGGTAGGAATATCCAAATTCCATCTGGGTTATTAACCACCACAGATGGAAAAGCTCATTCTATTTCTGTTTAGATGCTATAGATTTAAATAAAACACTTTAACGGTTTAAAACGCGATATATTAGTTAAACTTATTTGAAAATGATTTTTAACTTCGGCCCGACGTTTCGGATGCTTTGCAGCAGCCGTGGTCACGGGGAGAATCATTTTCAAATAAGTTTAACTAATATATCGCGTTTTAAACCGTTAAAGTGTTTTATTTAAATTTGTACTACTCGCCTAAACTATAGACAGAGTATAGACTACAACAACATTTTCACAACACGTCATTAGCGGCGTAACGCGTTACACTTATATATTTAAATAAATAAAGATATGATAACTATAGTAATAAATAATACAGATATAAAAACAATAACCGTTGTAGTGGTTTTTACTCGTAATAATGTAAGACCCGCAAAATTGTTCTCTTAATTTTCCCGGAATGTACCTAATTATTTGGTAATTTTTTTTTAAATAACGACTTTGTGTAAGAATATTGCCCTTTTCATGCCATAAACTGTCAGGATCTTGATGTAAAAAACCTTGCAATATTTTAAATTTATATATCAAGCAAAATACAAATAATGAATATTTTTATGTAGGTAGGCTTTTAGTTTGTCTGTCTATTAGCAATCTTCTTTGTACAATCTTTTTTGCTTTGATCAATGTGTATATATATAACAGGAATTTACTATAACGTCCCTGATTTTTTGAATAAGCATCAATTCACTGTAAAACTAAAAAAAATAAAGTAAATGTTAATTTTTAAACAAAAAAGACAAAATAACACGAGCGTGACTCAAACCAAGAGGGCAACTTTTATTTAGCTTTATTCACTCTTGTGTTATTGTTATGTCTAATATATGTGTACTCGTTTATTTATCTCACTTTGAAATAAGTAAGGTAGGTATAAACCTCACACAAGTTGTCCTAACCTAATGAAATTTCGGAAAATCAATTTGTTGGAAGCAAAACATTGTATTGATACTCTACTAATATATAAAGCTGATGAGTTTGTTTGTATGTTTGAACGCGCTAATCTCAGGAACGATGGGTTCAAATTGAAAAATTATTTTTCCATTATTGTTCCAATTTTTGTGTTGGTTAAAACATGTATCGAAGAAGGCTATAGACTAAAAACATCGCCGCGTGACTAATACAAGCGAAGATACAGAGAGAAATGTGAAAAAAAATGACAATTTATTAATCATTATGGGTTTCCGAGACGTTCGCTGTAAAAAAATGGTTCAAGATACCCAAAAAATATGTATGAAAAAATGATTCCTCTTCAAATGATCTAAAAAAACACGCCTGTCTATCTTTTAAGATTAACTTGCAAGAACGACGGGAAGGGACGCGACTGACGTCGTGGGTGACACCTTAATTTTATAAAAATGAAGGGGTTTGCAAAAACTAATTTGGATGCCCAAACGAACGAACTAACGACTATAATTCAGTGATGATCACAAATATAAAAAAAATATATATTATGATTCACAACTGTCTCATTCTTATCCTGCGGTTGCGATGCAACCGAACTGAGTCAATTAATTCAAAATAATTATTTTTTATTTCAATGACTCAGTTTGGTATGGTAGATAATGTAGGGTAATTAAGCAATTAAACAATAGAGTTTATTTGACGTTATACAAAATCTTACACAAATCTTTGAATGCATGAATTAATGGCTAATTCAGGAAAGTATACCTAGATTTTTGAAGTTCTTTTGAAAATTTTAATATTTTTCACATGGTATGGATTTTGTAAATTAAAAAGTAAGAGAGGTGCATGTATGTATGTCCTGGTAGCACACTTGGGGAGCAACGAGTGAAAGCTGGTTCAAGTCCCTCCCGTGTTGTAATTTTTTTTGTAATCTAAAAAAGAGCTATTTCATATAAGTCCAATTAAAATCATTAAAATTAATATTTTTGTTACTCTTTCTTTGCAGTCGGTTTAAGGAATTAAGTTGAAATGGAAAACAATACAGCAGTGAAATGAAAAACATGATGTTATTAGCTGAGTCAGATGTCGTGCAGTCACGTTGGGCAAAGATCCGCCGTGTAGGTAAATGAGTAGCCGTCGGCTCTAGAACAACCTTTCAAGGTCGCTGGCAAAGATTAATTGTTAATACATGCAGAATAGATGCGACACTTTACGATTTTTAATGTTGTCAAGAATACTAAAATAATTATTATTATTAGTATGTGTAACAGTTGTCGTTCTAATTATTTTTTATTTATTACTTTTTATTTTTTTTTTATTTCTTTACGCAATATTTGATTTTTATAACGAAAACATAATTTATTTTTTAATAATGTATTAAAGTAGAATTTATCAATATGGTTATCATTACACTAGCAAGTCACATATTGTGATATTTTTTTTAAATCAATTTGCTTGTTATGTCTGCCTTTTCAAGTTCAATTTTTAAATGTATTCCATGTTTTTTACTATTTTAGCCATAGCTTAGTTCTGTAGACATTTTCTAATAAGAAAGAACGTATTTTACAGGCCACACTACACTATAATAACATTTTGATGTCAAAATGATTAAAAATCGACTGTAAATAAGTATGAAACTAAGTTAACTGTTTTAATTCCGTTACTCTAATACTTACGATCTATTTTACTTGTACGACAAACGATCAACTTTCAAAGGAACCCACTTCATTTACATCGCAGCGAATTGAAACCGGAAACATCAATTCTTAAAAGTGTCAAAATACTTAAAGATGAATTAATAATGTAAAATAAACAAGGATAATATAATTTCCGCTCTGCCGGAAGAGGAAGTGAGTCTTGCTTTTCCTTTTAATAACTGCACATTTTCATAATATTCGCAATCTAATTTGAATAATGAACGGAACGTTGTGAGTATTTTAATGGAATGCTATTACGACAAGATATTATGATAAAACAGCTGTCTCTGTGTACGAGTGGATTTTGTAACAATTCCCTAGTTGGATAGATAAACGGTATCATGGACCTCCAAGTTGCAAAATTAGTATGAGATAACATTTCTGATATGTAATCAACTCTTCCAAATAAAAATCTATTTCTCTATAGCTATAAATAATATATCAATATAAAATAGAAATATGTATTCTTTATTAAAATTATTACTAAAGAATTTATGCATGGCCGCACATGCTATATCTGCGTTAAAATTCTTTGCCCAATACGTCACAACGGTCGGTGCATAGATGCGCCCGCCTCAGTACCCCCCACCACTTGTATAAAGCCTACTGCTCATACGACGCACTCAGTTTTTATAGTACATCAGTGATTGCCACACGTGAACAATGTTTTCGCCGCGATACTTGGCGATATTCGCCCTACTCGCCGCCGCTGCGGCCTTCCCGGCTGAAAAGCAAACACCTGCCCTCCCCGAAGAATTAGACGACACACCATGGTTCTCATTCCCCAAGTTTCCCTTCATGAACTTCTTCTCGCCCATCTGGGATCTGTTCCCCTCGATCGCTGACTTCGGGCCCAAAATCGAGGTAGACGACAACAATTTCCGGATCGTGGTTAAGGTGAACAATTACAAACCAGAAGACCTAAAGGTTGAAGTGAAGAACGACTTCATCTTCATCCAGGGATCTCACGAAGCAAAGAAGGCTGAACACGACATTTTCGCCAGCCAGTTCTTCTATACCTACTCGGTTCCGGCTAACTCAAGCGCTTCAGACATCACCGCTAAGTACTTCTCCGATGAGGTGCTAGAAGTCCTGGTGCCACTGCATGGCAAGGGCGAAGAACGGGTTGACAAACTCACAGTACCTATTACGGAAACCGGCACGCCGTACAATTCTGAGAAAACTGAAGTGGCCACAGCGGTGGACGACAAAAAAGAAGTAACCGAGAGCGAACGAGAGCCGACAACAGCAAGCCCGAGCCTCAACGAAGTGGATAACAGCGCAGCTAACGAGGTGCAGCCCTAAGTGATATTTAGTTTAAGCATGTATTTATAAAGCAGTATTTTAATAAAGGATTTTTTATACGCGCTGTTTTATTGGTGCTGGTGGAATTTCCTGTAATGAAGCAATCGAGGTAGCGTAGGAAGTGAATTATAACGGTATTTTTATTTGTACGTCCTTTTCATGTTTCTTTCTAGTATTACGAACAACAATCGGTCTGGAAAATTCCTTGCTTAAATATTGTTTACATCACTAATTATCGTGCTAACGAAAAATAAAATAGGTATATATTACACATTAGTTAAAATTTACTTTTTTCGTTGTTTTGTTCACTAGAATTATTAATAATTTTCTGAAACTACTTTTTTGTAAATATAGAAATTTGTCCTGAAATAAATGTATTTATTTTATGTAGGTACTTCTATTTTACTACATCATATTTCACCAAAACACTTGCCGCTTTGTTTTGACGTAAATATTATAAGTAAATTCCTCTTCATGTAACTCCCGGACAACGATATAATGCATTCCAAAGGCCTAAATAATATTACATAATATTAGATAAAATTGTTTTTTTCATTTATACTGCTCGCGTAGATTACAACCAATACCGAAGAATACCTACATAATAAACTTTAGTTCGAAAGCGTTTATTTTAACAATAAATCACGTAGTGATGCATTCCATTTGTGTGTTTCATCCATTTCTCGAGTGTAAATTATATGTTTTTTATCTCCATAACGAGTTTTCGTATGTAGGTAAGTTAATAAATTTACAAATACTTAGATGATTATAACTTACCTACATAATTTCTCCCATTAAAAGAAAAAAAATTAAAAAAAAAAGGGGCAAGGAGGGTTTTTTCCAAAAAAAAAAAAAAAAAAAAAAATTTGGGGCCCCCCCCCCCCCGGGGGGGAAATTTTTTTTTGGGGGTTTTTTTTTTTTTTTTTTTAAAACCCCCCCCCCCCTTTTTTTTTTTTTTTTTTTTCTGCGTCTCATCGTTCTTACAAAATAATCTTAAGATATATACTAGCATGGACATTTTCAAAGTCATTTAAAGAGGAATCATTCTTCCATACTTATATTGTTAGTTTCTTGGACTGTTGCCACACCTACGCAACGGAATCCCAAGAAGTTACACATAAAGAAACCCCTGTTTCTTTGTTTCTATAGATTACAGTCAATCAAACACAAATAGATTTTTTCATTTGAACAGAAGTTCCTGAGATTGGCTTAAGGTTTATAATATTAGTATAGATTATTTAAAACACAAAGAGTACCACTCTACTGGAAGTAGGTAAAAATCAAACAAATTAATTGGCCCAATTTATTTGTTCCGACAAGGTATAAAACTTCTAGATAAGATTAGTGTTTTTGCTTGTATTGTTTGCGTTACCTGTACATTATGATTCACGCTTTAGTAACACCCGCATCTGCTCAAACCGGTAATACCTACTTGTGTTTACAATTAATGAAGTGTATTTTAGGGCAATGAAATATATAAATCTGCATAAATAAAATAATGTAATTCAATTATCATGGAAAAAATGTTTTAATATAAACCAGACCTATCTCATTATTAAAATTATGTAGTAAACTAGGAAACTAGAGAAAAACAATTTAGGCAGTTAGGCTTAAATCAAACAATTTTAACGGTTCAAAACGCAAAATATATTAATTATTTGCAGTTTATTTTAACTACGGCCCAACGTTTCGGATGATTTACAGCAGCCATGGTCACGAGATACAACTACACATAAGGTTTCGGTATGTAATTTAATACAATTTGTATAAAAATATAAGCCTTAAATATTGTCTATAGTTTACGCGAGGAGTACACATTTAAATAAAACACGTGAACGGTTTAGAACCATATATAGTACAGCACCTGGTCATGGGAAACATACCCCCTGTATGTCTTCCTACCACCACGTCTGCTCAAAGCATCCAAAGCGTCGGGCCGAAGTTAAAAATCATTCTCAAATAAGTTTAACTAATATATCGAGTTTTAAACCTTTAAAGTGTTTTATTTAAAAAGAGCCTCATAGATTTAGGTCGAGTACCTAAATACGTAACGTTACTAAAAAATATCTTATGCAAAGTTTGTATTACAAAGTACTATTAGTGTGTATATAACACATGTAAAATTTAGTGATTTTAATATTTATAATCTGTCTCTCTTTCCGTCTTAGAAGAACATATTTTTTACAGCTTCTTCTGTGGACGGTGGTTCGTGACCGGGACGGAATTTCGGTTCTTACCCCCAATTTAATACCCACAAAGGCAAAGACGAAGACAAAGTCCGAAATATTTCAGACAAATAATATATTGAAAAATTATAAACGTGTTGGTTCCAACATGTTTTTATTTTTTGGTAATTTTCCGGTGGGAATCGAACTCGCGACTCGTTGAATATTAGCCATACATTGCTATCATAAGACCAACAAGCCCGTCAAATATATACTGATTCATTCGCTTTATTTAATATACAAACTCAATATATAAAAAAGAAAATAGTTCAGTATGCCACAGCTTTGTTTGTGTGTCAGTTACACACATGTTAAACCAAACAGTGGTTAGCGTGAAAATTGCTTTCACGTCTCACTGCATTTTCTAAATACGCTATCTTTAGCAACCTACTTTAAATGTATGACATATATCTTGTACTAGCTGTGCCAGCGACTTCGTCCGCGTAGAAAAGTTATTTTAGGTATCAAAATTAGTTTTTGCAACCCTCATCTTTATATATAATCAGTAACTACCACACGTTTAAACAAGAACAAGCATGTATACAAAACAACATCCTTTTTGTTATGATATCCATCAACACCCATCTAGGATCAATCCGACTCTCATTCATTTAACGTGTATTACAGAACTACGGGAACTCTTTTCCCCTTTCCCCGAGACAAACGAACGGACAGATAATTAGTTGTTATGAATCACGGAGCGGAAAATATAATTTCTCGTATTATTCCCAAGTCGAGTACATCGATTATCTTAATGGAATGGCTCTGCTAATGGTCTTCAAGATTACACTAATATAACTCATCTCTCAGTCTTTTTGTCTGCGAAGATAGATAGGAATAGTTTATGAGCTGTTATAGATTTCAATAAGCGGTAGATGGTTCAAAGAACCTTCGAGAAAGAAAATTTGTTCGAACCGATTGCAAGGTAGCGGCTTATAATTGAGCAGTTTCCAGACATTATTTGTTCATTTTGTCTATTTAATTTAACTACTATGTGTTCGTGATTAACATCTAAAATTTGATACCTAATTTTTGAATTAACAATTTATAGAATCTTTTTCATGTAAATCTTTTGCATGCAGACGTGGAAATGTCGCCCACATGAGAATTATTTTCAATAAAAAATACTATTATTACTACACTATATTTTACAATTCCTTTTTACTGTTACTGAAACATTTTATCTTCCCGAAAATCGAACTGCATAGATGACTCGTACGATATCGCAACGTCAGACAATTCGTTTGTTTACCCAGACCACTGGGACCGATTATTTAAATATTCAAAGCTACGAATAAAATTCAACTTACTATAATATTTAGACTTAGTTAACAACCCCGTATGTTTCTAAGGAGTCACTTCAATGTTAAAAAAAGGCTTATATTAAGTTTTAAAAAGGTCACTGAAAATTTACGACAAGAGTAAAAGCATGGAACTAGTCTACCGTGAACTTTAGACTTATAATCTGGGAAAAAAATAATAATAAACATCAATAATGTTTTTTTTATGTACTAGGCGATTAAATTTCAACCTTTCAATATAGTGATCGTACCTACATCCATTTCGCAGTTGTTATAAGCAAATATAAAAGAAAATAAGTACATTTAACTGACATATACCTATGAAAAGGATCGAGTTTATCAGTATAACAGTAATTTAGGTACGTTAAAAAAAATATATTCGTTCAATCCGCTCAGTTGCAAATAAAAACGATAAGCTGTATCAAAAACCATCTTCGCGCCAGCATTCCGGTTTTGCAACACCCCTCTCCTCGTATATAATCTCTTGCAGCCTCGCGACCGCCAGTTTTTTAAATAAAATTTATTAAAACGGTCGTATTAAAATGATGTTGAGGAAAATATTGATCGCAACCGCGTTCCTTGTCGCGGCGAACGCATTTCCCGCTCAGAAAACGACATCGCTTATTTTAGACGAGTCTGACGAGAAAAGTTCCTGGTACTCCACGTTCCCTTTATTTAGTATCTTCAAACCGATTATTGAATTATTCCCTAATTTCGCTGATATAGGGCCGAAGATTGAAATTGGAGAAAAATACACCAATATTATAATCAAAGCTGATCAGTACAAACTGGAAGAACTAAGTGTCGTTATAAAGGGAAGATATGTATCAATAGAGGGATCAAAGAGGACTGTAAACGATGACCGAGACCTAGCCAGTGAGTTCCTGTATACCGCATCTCTGCCACACAACGCCGATAAAAGTGATGTGTTTGCGAAATTTTACAGTGATAAGTATTTAGTCGTATCTACGCCTAACAAAGCTGGGAAAGAAAGTAACCACGTTGATAGAACTGTTCCTATAGAAGTTATAGGAGAGCCTTATATTAAAAATGCCAATGCCTTTACTGAAAATCAATCCACTGGAGCTCCGGTGTTGGCGGATCTTGTGAGTACTATTGCCCCTGGGGTAATTGATGATAAAGTTACTTCCGAACCAGAGTCAACAACCGAGCAAGTGACAACATTAGCACCTAAGTTAAGTGAAAAATTGGCAAATCTCGCTCCTCAGTTAAGCACTGAGGCAGCCAGCACATTCGCGCCCGAAGAAAATCATAATGACTTAGCGAACTCTACTCCAGAGCTCGCTGAGAAACTATTAGAGACTACTGAAGTTAGAATTGAAAAGGAAACTACTTTAGCACCTGAAACAACAAGTGAAAAAGCAGAAGTAGTAACAGAAGAAAAAACTGTGGAAATCGTAACTGAAGTGCCTATTGAACCATCTACAGTAGACTTTAACACAGCCAGTGATTTGGAAGCTGAAAAAGAAACAAAGGTGAACACAGAATCAACAACGCCATTCATAGAAATGGTGACTCTTAACACCACTCCATACTTTGATAACGAAATTAGTGATTTGGTGAGCAGTGAGCAGTAGTTATTCCATATTGTTATAGTGGCTGTTGGAATGCGTTTAGCGTAGTATTTTATGGTCGGGGCGTAACTTGAATACAGATGGTACTCGCGTTGGACGACCTGGTGCAAACAATGGAACGCCATAACGCAACGCTAACCGCTCGGGTTATAATATTATTCAATATAACACATATTATACATTAAATACGACTGTTCTTCAGCGCAAGTTACAAAATAAAATATACCTTGTGCATAATGAGTGAAATAGGGTTTAACTTTTTTAATAAATATTGGTCTAAAATACATATATTGATGACAGAATCATTCGACCTTCGTAGTAAAAAACGGATTAGATCGCTGTAATTAACAAAAGAAGTTTTATTGTCTATGCAAATTTAGTTTCTAGTTATACAAAATCACCTGTTTTATTAACTAATTCAAAGCGAGAATAAGCTAAGCATAAGTTAAGTGTTCTAATAAATTATTTGCTATAGACAAAATTGTTTTCCTTTAAAATCAAACAACTAACGTATTCAAATGGGTTTATTATGAAAAGGAATCTACTTTGAAATCAATAATTAATTTAATTCGAGATTACCATTTCATTATTAGACACGGAAGCCGAACTAATTACTAGTCGAGATCACTACTTCCTCTTACATCAAACAATCTCTGAGATTAAGGATTACAAATGATATTATCATAATTAAATTTAATAATGTTGTAACTAGAAGAAATATTTTCTTCTTTTCCGTTCTAAATTATGACAGAAGATTTACTAACGTTAAATACTGTCTGTAGTTTACGCGAGTAGTACGCATTAATAAAACACTTTAACGGTTTAAAACTTTTTTGACAATGATTTTAATTATGTTTCGGCGGCTTACGCAATTGCAACGTTTTAAACGGTTGAAGTGTTTAAATAAAACACTTTAACGGTTTAAAACGCGATATATTAGTTAAACTTATTTGGAAATGATTTTTAACTTCGGCCCTGTCTCCCCGTCTCCCAGTCTCCCCATGACCACGGCTGCTGCATAGCATCCGAAACGTCGGGCCGAAGTTAAAAATCATTTCCAAATAAGTTTAACTAATATATCGCGTTTTAAACCGTTGAAGTGTTTTATTTAAATGTGTACTACTCGCGTAAACTATAGACGGTTGAAGTGTTTTATTTAAAATATTAATATTATTATGTTGACACAACTCTAATTTAGTATTGCATTCATTTCGACCAAATTTGATAACCATCAGAACGGTCCTCGTAAGTCCTTGTAAATCTCAAAAAGACATTTCCTGTCGCGGATAAATCTTGCACATCATTTAAAGAGACATTACTTCTTACATATTTTTGGCCCTCAAAGATGAATATTTTTTCAGTTTTTTTTCCATGTTTTCGCTTCTATAGACCGCAGCGTTACGAAATATTGCCTTCTTCGATTAATGGTAAAGCAAACACAAAAACATTATTTTTAATTCGAACCTGTAGTTCCTGAAATTTTTTAAACAGACAAACATACTCTTTAGTTTTATAATATGAATTATAGTAAAATAATATTTATGTTTGTGTTATTTTACATATATACATCCTTTCTATGTAATTTGTTATAATGTATTTTAATTTCTTTCTTAACCGCAACTGCAATGTGGTCTTTAAGTATGACTGATCTGTATTCTAATCATTGAACTTTTCTCGAACGTCCTACGTCATTTGTTTCACACAAATTGTTTCGAATTTAGGTCGTAAAAATATAAATGTTATTAATAGAAGGCACACAATCTTTTGTTAGAGATTACGGTACTATTAAGAAATAATTAAACATATTTTAAAAGTTGAATAATTAAATATTTTTTGTTTTTCAAATAAGTTTTTATCAAACAACTTTGTTTCATTATCATTATAGACATCCATATCAATGAATTAATCAAATCAATATTTATTTATTTCACAACTTAATATTGTTCATCAATATTATTTTTTTTTGACATTATTTGGTAAATTACAAATGAAAACAAAGGAGTTCCTTTGTTAGGAAAAAATAAACCCAGAATTCGAATCTAAGACCCATCACGTTTAGAGCAATTCAAGGATAATATATACTTAAGGCTAAAGATACGAAGCGGTTAAGTTGATTTACAATATCCTTAATCTATTTTGGTCGATTAGCAAAGCGTTGAAAATATTCATTAATTTCGTCGACGATAAATCCATCTCAATGTCGCCGGATCGATAGGTCAAAGGATTTTTCGCATATTTTAACATTCCGTTGAAAACTACGAGCTTTATGGCGCAGTTTTGCATATTTTTCGATATATGGGTCAAGCATTATTAATAAAATATTTTCTGACGGATTACAATATTCATTTAAATTTTTATCAAACAACTTCACTATCACATTTCAATTTACTTCTTGTATAAAATTATTTATTATAAATACATTAATCTCTTCTCAAATATTTTATGTTCAGTTATATATGACGTACCATTTATTTATGAAGACCATAGACTTAAATTCCAGAGATCACAGGCTAATTTACTAAAATCATTTTTAGCCCTTTTTTAATACATAGTGTCAGATAATGCATATACCATCTACCTCCTCTCACAAATTTAATAATTTGCTGTTTTAAAAGAATAGACTTATAGCTAAAGAAATAATTTGTGTTCAATACAGCAGTTTATCTCGTATCTAGCGCGTAACTATGCTCAGCAAGTTCTAAGAACATGTTAGCGATGACAAATATTTGTCAAACAAAGCAAATGGGCCGTATGTACAGTGAGTTCATTGACCGACACGACAGCCGATACTCAGGTAACCTCGATCTTCTAAATAGGATTCAGGTAGACATTTCTGCGTCTGCCCAAAATAACTATTCTACGCGGTCGAAGTCGCTGACACAGCTAGTCTTACATAATATAAGGCTTAAAAAGAAAAAAAATTAGGTATATTTTTCATTTATTTACATATTAATTAGTAAATAAAACAAATGCATCGTCCAACAACAACATATTTTACATACGTTATTGTAAAATTTAACAATTATGTTTGCAATATTCAATATATTCAAACAAACGAATTCAATTTTCATTCCATTACAATAAAATTCCAAAATATATTAATATTATGAGAATACAATATTTCAGAAGATCGGCATTGTTCACGAAGTAGTAATTGAATATTACGTATAAGTGTACATTTATATGGTTTTAATAGTAATATATAGTAGAAGGTTATCATCGGGTTTAATTAAACTGAGGTAAGCAACAACTGGAGGCACATAAACAAAAATTTGCGAACCTCCTTTGACCCGGTACTCTCAAATGTTTACGCAAGTAACACTTTTAACGGCTCAAATCTTGAAACAAATTTAATTAATTAACATTTTAAATAAGGTATCTTATATATTTCGCGTTTTAAACAGTTCAAAGTGTGAAAACTGATTGTACATGATGGCACTATATACATTAAAGACCGATTATAACTTGAAGAAAATTACGACACGGGCAGGACTCGAATAGCTTTAGAATGTTAGAGCAACAGCAAGGAGTGCAGTAGATACCTACCGGTTGTTTGATTTAAATTTGATTTGTTATTAAAGCAGTTTATAATTGTACTTTAGGATTTCGCTAATAATACAGTACGAATGTCTCTTTTTACACATTTCCTACGAAACGTTATCTGTTTGCGTTGGCAGATCCAAACAATGAAACGGAAGCCTATATTGTGTGTGAACGCGTCAAACGGTTACAAACTCGGATTAATCACAACTCAAGTAGATGACGGTATTGAAGAGTTTATACTTACGGGGGTGCATGAATAAATTTGAGAAAATTAAAAGTGAACCCACGATAGCTCATTTGGTCATTTGGTTGGGCACACGGAACATCATCAAGGAGCTCTGCGGTCGTGGGTTCGAATTACATTCGCGTAAAGTTTTCAATCTAAAATATAAAAAAGTGTTTAGTAACGACATCTGTATGCATTAATTATTTATAGATACTAGTTTGTACTCGCCGCGTCACTTGCATATTATTAACTACTTTTCGAGATATAGTCCTAAATACCTCTCTTAACAATTTTCTAAACGTAGCATATTATGCTGCGCGAGAGGTGCATGTATTAATAAGTTGAAAAAATTCGATGATGAGGTGTAGGACTCGGTAGCTCAACTGGTGGAGCAACAGCACGGAACGCTGACGATACCGGTTCAAGTCCTGTCCGAGTCGAATTTTTTTTAAATTTCTTGTCGATTTTTAAAGCATTATATATTTTAATTAGTGCGACAAAGAAGGACATACAAACACATGCGCATTTAAAATTTTCATTGTATAAAAAGCAAGCTTTAAAATGTATCAATGTTCCACTTTTTACCTCTCTCTACTCGTATTAACTATTGCGAATAAAATACAATTAGGGTATTTCCATGTTTAAATGGGAAACCTTACAGATAAATAAATCAACCGTTCCTGAGATGAGTACAAACAAACTAATAATCAAGCAACATTTATAGTGTTCCTAAAATTTTAATTATTTGTAATAAATTACTGATCCAATAAATAAGAGGTGAACTATGGATATTCTATGTTAATTTGGGTTTATAAATTATATCATTAATGACCCGGAATTGAAAATAATCTTTATCTATATTAGTTAGTACAACTACAACATATAAATCTCATGTATTTGAAGATCCCTATAATTAATTAGTATAAAAAATAATACAAACAAGAATTTTATATCTATATGAGTCAGGTTTTAGAACTTGGATTGAATCGATGGAATACACGTTATGTGGGGCACGGATTTGTATATTTCACTAATCAATTTTATTTGAAGGTAAGTAGTCAAACAGACTTCTGTGCTTTACCTGACCGAAACAATTTAAAAATACTACCTAAATACTGTCTATAGTTTACGCGAGTAGTACACATTTAAATAAAACACTTTAAAGGTTTAAAACGCAATATATTAGTTAAACTTATTTGAAAATTATTTTTAACTTCGGCCCGACGTTTCGGAT